GGGGGTAGTAATAGGTTAAGAAATAGTCCCACTAAAATAAATGAGTGGGAGTGGAAAAATCCTTGGGGTAGGGTTAGGGCATTACAAAATATCTCCCAGGATGGGCTTGGTGGGTAGAAATAGGGTTAGAGGGCTCTAAAATATTGCCTAGAAATGACAGGGGGGAGGGGAGGGAGGTGTGCCATGTCTTAAAACACTAATGATAAGATGTGTTGAGATCATTTCTTGTTCTTTACAGCTAAGCTTCATCTTCAAGGCTATTCCTGTCATAATCTTCATTATTTAAGTGGTTGTCCTTTACCCACAGAAGAAGAGGAGCTCAAAATGAGGACAACGTTTGAAAAATGGAGAGTGAGTTCCTATGAAACCATCATCTTATTCTTGTCAGCCAATGATATTGCCTCAGAGAGTGAGAGGCAAATCTGTTATTAAAGCTGATTCTCTGTCTTAACATGATAATTTCATTAAACCCTGAAGCAAGTGGACTACATCTATGCCGCCCTGTGATGTGACCCTGTTGCATGTCTCTGGAACATGTCCCTTCATGGGTTATAACTAAACCATTCTCAATACAAATTTTGCTCATACTTAATAATTTTTTTTTTAAATTTCAGGGAGGTTTAAGTACTCTGGGGATCCCCTTCACTGATGTGCTGAGAATACTAGCAGCTATTCTGTTGCTAGGAAATGTACAGTTTGTTGAGGGGGAAGGGTTGGAATTGGACGTAAAGGGCAATAATGGTAATGTAGCCTTATCCTCTACATCTTGTCTTAGGTGTCATGATTGTGGGTCCATGAGGATTCTCACTGGGTGCTCTATGCATGATTCCTCAAATATGACATGTTTCATTATATTTCTTGAGAGGAATGTGTCCTAGTAGATTACATCTCACTCTCCCATGTGCGTTGGATAAGTATAAATAACCTGCCGTATGCAAGATAACCCTCTTTGAACTAGTTTAGAATTCAAATAAAACAACACCCATCTCGTCACCCATCTCCCTTTGGCGATGAATTGAACAAGCTTCCCACTGAGAGCCACTTGCTCCCTCCTACCTTGGTGGCAATCTCCCCATAACTTAGTATCATTCCAGGCATTGTGGGTGGGAGCTTTCAGTGAGAATGTATTACTAACTACAGCAGTGAGAGGCAACACATGAGCAGTGCATTCCACCCATCTTTTACATATTACAAATATAATAGTAGTGACATAAACATTTATGAAGTGCTTCTGTTTTAAATTCCTTTTATAGAAATCAAAGCAGTGGCAGCATTACTGGGTGTGTCAGGTGTTTCTCTGTACAGGGGATTGACAACAAAGACAAAGAATCTACGGGGACAAGTCTTTAGATCTCTCTGTGAACCTACTGTGGTAAGACAGGGGCTGGGTTTCAGCTCATTAATATATAATAATGTTGGCGATGGTGGTGGTTTTTAGTTTGATGATGTTGGTGATGGCGATGGTAGTGGTGATGATGATGGTGGTTGTGATGGCGATGATGATGGTGATGATGTTGGTGATGGTTTGGTAGTGGTGATGATGATGATTGTGGTTGTGATGATGATGACGATGATAATGGTAATGATGGTGATGGTGGTCGTAGTGGTGATGATGATGGTGGTTGTGATGATGATGATGATGATGGTGATAAAAGCACCATGTGCTGTCAGCCAGAATGAAAATTATATTGAAAACCTAAATCAGCTGATGGAAAAAAAAAAAAAAAAATCAGCTGATGGACATCTCCTCGAGACAGGAATTGAGGTCTAGGGAAATCAGGTTATAGAAAGAGGGAATGTAACAAAAGGATGTTTTGTTAACCATTGATATTTTTAGAGCAGTCCTCCAAGTTACTCTTTTTAAAGCATGTTTTTGTTTCCCTCAGGCGAACCAACACAGGGATTCCTTAGCCATGGCCTTATACTCGCGTACCCTAGCTGCCATCGTGCGTCGCGTCAACAGCTTTAAAAGACCTACATCATCAGCAGTGACATCCACCTCAGCCTCGGGTGAGGCGGGGTTGTCCCCAGGGTCTCCTGGCAAGAAGGCGGCGATGACGAATGGAGGGATTCTAAGCACAAACCATGAAGGTGAGTAAGAATGTCGGGCAATATTTCTTTTATCATCCAATGAGATTTTGACAAACCTTCAAACAATCGTGATTTCTCCTACTCCTCGGGATTTTCTCAAAAATGCGGGAAACAGCATCCCGATAAGTTTTGTTTCTTGGGTATATCCCCAACTTAAAATCCTGGATCCGCTAGACGGCGTACATAATTTTGGACCTTTCTATTTGTTGATCCGTTTTGCAGGTTCTCCCACTCTTAGTCCTGTGTTATCTTCATTTAACGGCCTATTGTCCATACCAAAAGGAACCACTGGGCTTGTTGCTGTGATGGACATGTTTGGCTTTGAGAACAGAAACAACGTATGTATTTCCCATTCACAACAACTTACGTTTAGTCGATTTTGGACCTTATAAATGATAGTAGTATTTCACAATTATTCGCCGAAGGCGAAGTGATTATCGGGGAATATTTACCGAGACGCGAGTCTCCGAGCGGCGAGATAAATATTCCCCAATAATCACTGAGCCTGAGGCATTTTTCGCTCGAGGTGATTATCGTGTGATAGTGTGAGTTTCTTGACCAATCAACGCGCGAGATTTTCTATAATCACCTGCGTATTTTTACTAAATTCTAATGCTTTTCCATTTTTAGGTCAATCAGCTTGAGCAGATTTGTATCAACCTTTGTTCTGAAACGATCCAACATTTTTACAACACGCATATCTTCAAAAGCTCAGAGGAGTATTGCAGGTGAGACGCTGGGGAGGAGGGGGCGGGATAGGACAGGGTCACAGTCTAGTTCTAAAGGGGTGCCTCTATTAGGTGGTTACCTTCAGGGCCTTGTGTCCCTGGTGTCCGCTTAATAAGGGTGTCTTCTGAATAGAGGTTTGGTACTGTGAATACAGGGGTACCTAAGCGGACACCCTTGGGACCTTGCCTGGTGTTCGTTGAATAGAAGTTTCACTTGTAGTATTCTTTTCACGTTACGTCATCAGGGCCATGTTGGTACCATTTAACAAAAGATTTATCATTAGCATCCATTGTTAACGGTACCATAATGGCCGCCATGTTTTTGTCTTTTAACTCTCTGGGGAATGCTTGCAACTCATCAATAGCATGTTTTTGTCTTGTTTCTCAGAGAGGATGACATTCACTTAGACGCTGATTACGTTGATAATGCTGCTTGTATCGAGCTACTTACATGCCAAAGAGCAGGAATCCTTACATTGCTGGATAAAGAAAGTTTGTTTATAAGGTATTATAACAGAATAACAAATAAGCCTTAACTGCGCCGGTGTTAAAATGACCACGACTTAACATTTCTTACTCGCTTAGTAAAAAGTGCGCTTGTCGCTCCAACCTGCCAAAGCCCGACAACGGAGTCCAAAGCAGGGAAAAAACGTACTAGGATGCGTATCAGGATGATATTAAATAATATTTTCGATTCCCATCGGCTAGTACCACCACGCTAGTAGCATAACTGAAAAGTGGATTAAAATTATTTTTCAAAGCAGATCTAATGTGTGAGAGCCATAGCGCAATACACACGTGCCGTGCCGTTACAGACGAACATTAATCTTGCGCGCTGCTTCGAAAGTTGTCATCATTTCTGTACCGTTTACGTACCCGGCGCAAGTTGTGCTCCGGACGTACCGTGTTCTAGCTTCGGGTACATGATTACTTACTTCTTAAAGTCATTAGATTCTTGTTTTATTTGATTTTTATATCATTATTTTAATTTGTATCAACCAGAGGGACGTATTTGAGTTTCCTACAGAAGGTCAGAGAACAGCATCAGGAGAGTGAATGGTAAGGTGTCTTTTATCTTCGTTGGGGTATTTGACCTAATACCTTTCTTTCCTTCCACAGGCAGCTCATAACTAGGGTTTTGTTTCCGAATATATCTAACAAATAAACTTGATATCATTTCAGCTTTTTTGATCCTGAACCGGAGAATCCGTGTTTTGCTGTCACACACCATGCAGACAACGTAAGCAAAATGTCTTACAGCAGTTTTCCTTATGATTGTGAAAAGCTTGTTGCTGTATGCGTGCCTTGCGGCGACCGTGATGTTTTCTAGCATTTTGATTGGCTGATTTTTTTCACGCGCAGTATGATTGGTCTGGCAGTGCCGTAACCTTGGCGTGAACTTATCGGTACCGTGTTCGTGTTCGTGTTTCGGGTATTTGAATGGATGGAGAGTAAATTCTCGCGCAATGTGATTGGTCTAGTGTATGCCTTGTCGTGTCACGACCGCGTTCGTGCCGCAAACTTTGAAAAAGACTGCTCTCAAATAGTCCTAATATATTAAGATTTCATTTCTGAAAACATTCTGGAGTATCATCGTTTTCTTTAGGTGGTCTATGATGCCAGAAATCTCATCCACATAAACAGAGACACCATCCCTGATGATATCGTCTGTGTATTCTCTAGGCAGGTAAGTCTCATAGATTCTTCTCTGGAGTCTTCTTGATTCGAGGGTCTTCTCAAGGTTCTACGGTTTTAACCTTCTCTAAACCAAACACGCTGAATTTCAGTTCGATTTGTGAGCTAGCTGTGCCCTGACTTTGATCAGCCAGAGGTTGTTTCAGGGATCTATCTGTGAGTTAGCCATGCCCTGACTTTGATCAGCCAGAGGTTGTTTCAGGGATCTATCTGTGAGTTAGCCGTGCCCTGACTTAGATCAATGTAGAGGTTGTTTCAGGGTTCAATCTGTGAGTTAGCCATGCCCTGACTTAGATCAGCGCAGAGGTTGTTTCAGGGTTCCATCTGTGAGTTAGCCATGCCCTGACTTAGATCAACGCAGAGGTTGTTTCAGGGTTCAATCTGTGAGTTAGCCGTGTCCTGACTTAGATTAGCCCAGAAGTTGTTTCAGGGTTCGATCTGTGAGTTAGCCATGCCCTGACTTAGATCAGCCCAGAGGTTGTTTCAGGGTTCGATCTGTGAGTTAGCCGTGCCCTGACTTAGATCAGCCCAGAGGTTGTTTCATTGTTTGATCTATGAGTTAGCCAAGCCCTGACTTAGATCAGCCCAGAGGTTGTTTCANGCCCTGACTTAGATCAGCCCAGAGGTTGTTTCATTGTTTGATCTATGAGTTAGCCAAGCCCTGACTTAGATCAGCCCAGAGGTTGTTTCAGGGTTCTATCTGTGAGTTAGCCGTGCCCTGACTTTGATCAGCCTAGAGGTTGTTTCAGTGTTTGATCTATGAGTGAGCCATGCCCTGACTTAGATCAGCCCAGAGGTTGTTTCAGTGTTCGATCTATGAGTTAGCCGTGCCCTGACTTAGATTAGCCTAGAAGTTTTTTCAGGGTTCGATTTTTGAGTAAGCAATGACTTTTAGATATTTCTCCTTTGTCGTTCTGCAGAACTGTAACTTCGGCTTCGCTACTCACCTATTCACGAGTGATCTGAAGTCACCACAAGGACAGACAGCAGCTCCTAAGGGTGTTCTACACAGAGTCTCACCAACACACACCCCTGAGCTTAACAGGTAAACAAATAGGATTCTTGGTTTTACTACTATGGTTCTTTTTGTTGGCAGTGTATGCTTGTGATGTTGTTTGGTTTAGTTGCTGTTGTTCCTGTCGCTGTTGCTTCTGCTGTTGTGTCTGTTGTTGCTTTTGTTACTCTTAGTTTAGTTAGTTAGTTTTTATTTTTACTGATTTTCTTTTTGTTACACAAAGTGCTTGTTCTTGTTGTCACTATATACTGTGTTGCTGTAAGCACTACTTACCTATTAACGTTCTTATTCTTCATCTTCAGGTCTCCAGGCAACTACGAACAATCACAAACTACATTTTCTCAAGATTTTCAGGTTTTTGTGACACAACCTTAGAACAACTTATCAAATTGATACATTTTTTGTGATAAATGTTTTTCTTTCTTTCCCCAGGGCAAACTAGATAGTTTACTAAAGACCCTAGTACAAGCACAACCCATGTTTTTAAGGTGTATAAAGGTAAGAATTATTGCTTTTTACATTGCATTATGAAGAAGAATCCCTGAAGAAATCGCACAGTAAACCACCAAGTAAGATTTTAGCCCCGCCACATTAAGAGGCCCCGCCAATCATAAAGTGACCCTGGTGTTAGGGAGAAGGCCCTCGGGTCTTTTCTCCATAGAACACCAAAACTAAAAGAATTAGCCTTCGAAGTCCTCATGTAGCCCTACCATCATGTTAACACGGTCTCATTAGGGGCATTTACAGCATTTCCTAAGGAGGCACTCCCTACCAACCACAACAAATCATTCCTCCTTTCTCTCCCTTAAACGACATGCACATAACATTTGGTCCCAGGGATAGGTCCCTGCAGTATCGGGGTATCGGGATGACACAGATCTTGCTAGTGTTATATCAACTTGTTTTTTGTTAAAGACAAACTTGCACCAAGAGCCCAACGTGTTTGATCGTCGGGTGGTAAGCCAACAGCTTAGAGCACTTCAAGTATTTGAGACACTGCGCCTTTTACAATCAGGTATGTTGATAAAATGGCATTGAGAGGGAGAGGAAGTGGGGGAGGAGGAGGGGAGAGGAGGAGGGGAGACGAGGAGGGGAGACGAGGAGGGGAGAGAAGAGGGGGTGTGGTTGGAGGAAGTTGTGTCAAAATACATTAGCTGTAAATAAACTGTTACTATGAATATTAATTTCCACCAAAATATTCAGTCTTATTTTTATCCCTGTTTAGAATTTGCACATCACTCTAGGTTCCCGACTTTTATTCAGAAATACGGCTTCCTTTCGTCCCGTCCTCTTGGTGAAAGAGAAGAGACTGAACCCGAGGACTGTGAAGCCATCTTAGAATCGCATCTACGTAAGGTTCACAAAGACAAAGCAGGAATGCTTTCAAATTCATGGGTACTCGGAAAGAAATATTTATTTTACAGGTAGGTTTTTAAGTATTGGATGGGATGAATTGAACGAAAGGAAGAGCGCTTCATTTTATGTCTAACTCCAGATACAAGGGTTGAAAATCGGTGCAGCGTGTTGCAGTAGAATTCTTTGTATTACGACCATTTGTTTTTCAAACTTCGCTTGCATACACTTCCACCCAATTGGATACTCGTCCACCCAGATGGTTTATTTTCCAACCAGGTGGGTACGTGTCCACCCCGTTGGAAACAAGTCCACCCAGTTGTATACACGTCCACCCAGATACAAACGATACATGTCAACCCAGTTTCGCCGCACAACTTGGGTTGTTGATCTGGGGGACAAAACAAAACAATTCCAATCTCCTAAGAATATTGGGACCTATTGTTTTGTCCCCCAGATTGAACTGCATTCCAAATTGCTGCAAGGGGTCTATTCTAATCTTTTTTTCATAGTGACATCATGAAGCAGGAGTTGGATCGTCAGCGTGACAGTAGAAAATCATCTGCTGTTGTGACAATCCAAGCATTTGTACGAGGCTGGTTGTGCAGAAAACAGTGGATCACTTTGAAAAGATCACTAGAGATGCAGAAAAAGGCACGTTTACAATCAAGAACCAACCACAAGTAAGTCACGCAATGGAAGTCACGCAACAACGCGTGACAGCATTTCAAGGTGGTGGGAGGAAGGGGGAAGTAATCGTTCTGGTCAATATGGCTGCCCGCACACGTCAAGACTCGATTCACGGTTTCTTTTCAAATTAACACCTCGTTGAGCTAATGTTTTTGGTTGCATTAGACATGGTTCCAGCAGGCATATCGTACCCGCAGACCACGAGCTGAGCGTGGATACCAAAACAGCTGAACAGATTTGTTGTCTGCACGGTCTAGATATGGTATGTAGTTGTGCTAGATCTGATTGGTTTATTTTGTTTATCACCTAGTAATCTTGTATCTGATTGGTTATTGTGATAGGAGACGCCACCACCGCTACCAAGGAGCAGACCGTATACTGTGATGGGGAACATGAAGATGGGGTTTCCTCAGACCCGAATCATGAAACAGGATCTACTAGGTAAAGCCCTACTGCGCATGCCTTGGGGTGTAGTAAGGATCTCCCATGAGAGAGGGGGAGGGGCAATCATTCACTCTCTTAAACAAATCTTTCCTCCCATTTCAGATACTGCCAAAGGGAAGGGTGACCGTAAGGTGAAGGTATCCCGGGTACCCCCTTGAGATACGCCCCCAACGCCAAACCTTCAGCCGTCCCAGGTCTCCAGAAGGTTGTGACACAGGACGCCCACGCGACTAATTTTTAAATTTTGGTTTGTATTTGTAGGTGGTGACGGCGAGGTGTTATTACGTAAAGGAGAACACGTCAAGGTGGTCAGTGCCGCTCGTAAGCGAGGATTTCTTCTTGTAGAACAAAGGAGTGGATCTAATATACAAGTACCTTTCCAAATCACTGAACTCAAGGTGCGTAAGAACTCCCGTGGAATTAGCGGGGAATTTTCGCGCCAAAACATGCGCGCTCGCGCTCACAACTATGGGACCCTCTGATGTCATTCTCGTTCCCAGAGCCTGCGCCGTTGCCTTTTGAGCGTTGCCTTCCGCTGGCTGGCAATAGCGCAGGCTCTGTAAACGAGAACGCACTAATGTAAGAGAAACTTGACCAATAAAAAGGGGCGAATTGCTTGCGCTTTTCTATTTCCGGTGAAATCACTTCTCAATATTTAACTACATCTTTTTAATCTCAGGTTTCTCCAAACCCATCTCCTCGTTGAAAAGGCCTACTGAAACTCCAGGTACGCACGTTACTAGTACTGTAATGAAAAGGCTGGTCACAAGCTTTATTAATGTTTATTATTTTATGGTCTACCTGTGCTTTTGAAACCCCGTCAAATCAGGCTCCCTGTGGTATTGAAAGTATTAACATTATATCACGAACATTCACCAAGAAGTTCCGGAAACTAGACGAGTCGATAATCGACTTCATTTTTAAACTTTTTAGAACACGAAGGGGCCACGATTGGCGTCGATTCACTACGAGAGAAAGGTACAGAGAAAGTCCAGTATTAAACTTTTGGACGCCTGCAAACTTATCAGTTTAAAATAGATTGAGTATGATTATAAAACATCCAATTAGAATGCTTGGACGCGGTTCCGTCACGGGCACGACACGTCCAGGCCACAATTTTCTTTAACGTGCGAAATTCGCTTTAAAATATTTCAAACAAAAAAACTTTCTGCTATATACCACCTAAATTTAAACAAGGCGTCACGTGACATGCATTGCATCCTGGGACATTTAACGACTCGAGCGAAGTGTATGATGGGATACCTAAAATACTCGCGCTAATGATTGTTGATAGGAAGTGTAGATTCCCGACCATAATATCTAACAAACATACGAATAGAAAAAAGATAAATCCTACCGTACATAAATCTGGAAGGCTTGTTACGATATGATATTTATAATAATCTTCAAGGTGTAATATTATTTAATCGTTAATCTATTAATAATTAAATATATAGACATATATACCAGTCAGTAGTATATGAAATCAAGAGAATATATTTTATTATACATGGGTTTTTATTATTAATAAGAGTGATTTTGTCAGAGATTATAGAAATGAAATTATCCTTTAAAAAAGCTTGAATAAAAGGTACAAACTATGTGGGATGTCAATGGTTTTTGAAGCTTGCGTCTTGAAATTTAAGAGACCGATACAACCATCTTTCTTTTTTTAGTAACAGCAGGCAAGGTTTCTTTTAGGTCGAGAAAATATATCTAATAAATCTAAAGTCTAAAATCTAACTTATCTAATAATAAGTCTAAAGTCTAAAATATATTTTCTGAGTCTTTAAATTAGCAGCTACGTAAGTTGCTTGATATACTGCGAGGATCAGCTCAATTTGATACATATATACAACCGCATCACAAATATATGGTTTTTATATATTCGCATATATCTAAAGTCTTTCTTTCTCGTAAATAACACTAAAAAATGGAATATCAAAATCGTTTTTACATCTTTTTGAAATATCTAAAACTTAGTATTTTTTTCTCTCATAGTATGCGAGACCGAAGCAAAGTCATATTCGATGGAGAACGTCATTTACGAGCGTTTTGTTTGTTTGGAATTTAGCAACAAGAACGTAAAAACAGAGCTCGCTTAAAGCCAAAAACGCTTAAATATTTAAAGACGTTATTATTTTTCTTCAAAAAACGCGAAGAAAAATCTTTGAACATTAGTTACTTTCTTTCAATAGATTTTCTTCCCAGCTAACGGTAAGAAATGTCACTTGAAAGGATCTCTTCTGAAAAACTATAAGAATTCCGGCAAAAATAATATTAGAATATCATTTATACCACGAAAATGGTAGTGTGTAGGGTATCAGAATAGAACTCTTGCTTGAAAGAAGTCGTATTCGAAAACCATTGAAGTGCTACACCCAGCTGTAAACAAACCGGAAGTGCCATTCAAATTTTTCAATTGACATTAGCGTTAAGAATCATGAATAGTCTTTTTAATGGGGACGTTTTACAATGATAAAAAATGATACTAGAATATGAGAATAAAACTTGTGCTTGAAAGAATTAAAAGAAATGACATTCTAGAATAAATAGTCTTTTAAGTGAACGTTTACGAATATTTAAAAAATCGTGTCCTCAGCCTTAAAAAATGCTAGCACAAAGAGTATCACTTTTGTAATTAAGGTTGAATCGAGTGTGAGCTAGTTATTTTTTAGGCACTTTAAGATCTCGTTGTTTGCGGTTGATTTAGCTGTCTTGCACCTGTTTCATGCCCGCAGCTAACAAGAACAAGTGTCCTTTCATCCTAAATATCTCTCGTCAGGGGTCCATTAACACTCGTATTGTCTCGTATCCACCTCGTCTTGTACCTCCTTTATAATTACCGCGAGCTATGAAACTGTAATAGAATAGATGAACTATGAGATACAGACTCCATCAGGGGGTGGGTCCAAGAGAGGAGCTCAAGCGGGGTACTTGCTATAGTTGCTTAGGTTTTGGGGAGTTTTTTTTGTTACGTTTTCAAGGACCACTCTGTTGTTGGCCTTTTCTCTCATGAACCGGTTTTTTTTTTTTCTTACTCTTTATCTTCCTCCTTCGTTTTTAAATTTAATTTGCCAAAGTTGTTTTAGTTCTTCTGTTGTTGGCTTTTTCTCTCATTTACTGATATTTCTCATCCCCCATTTTTTCTTCCTTCGTTTTGAAATTTTCTTTCTTTTTCATATGAAAGATAATTTTTTCCAAAATTCACACAAAATCATAATGAATCATGCTTTTTTTTTACCTATTTCAAACGAAAATCTATTTAAATGAACAAAAATAAACTTTTCTAGTAATTAATTGTACACCAAAGATATTCAAAATAGCTTGCAAAATAGCTAGCAAAATATTTCTTTCGTATCTCAAACTTTTTTGCTACTTTTATACATAAATAAGTATATACGTAAATATTGCCATAACATTTTCAATGTCATTATTTTTTTTGTTTTAATCCCTCTTTTATATTTTCGAATTGAAAGCATCAAAGTAGGATTGAAACTTTGATACTTGGATTGTTCCCTTAACACAATTAGTCCGGCAAAAATAAGTTGTAAAATATTCTTGAATCATTTTGTGCTCATAGAGTTAAACCAAGTTTCTAACTCATGTAGATAAAGATATCAAATAGAATTTTGAAAAAATTAAGGTATAACCTTGGACGTTTCATACAATAAACCTGTGCCCTAAAACACCTCATCAAAGGACAATAACCGTGCTTATGCAGCTGGATAATTATTTCATTAAAGGAAACAAAAAAGTCTATTGAACATCGAAGAAAGGTGGGACGATTTACGGCGTCATTCATGCTGTTCAAAGTGAAAAACGTTGAATAAAATCTTGGAATTGTGTTCTACAGGATCCTCGGAAAACTAAAGAAAAGAAATCCGATAAACTGGAAAATTTTCGTTAGGAAGGAAAAAGGGATACCAATACTTCAAAGGCCCGAAATAAGACTCATTGTTTTTCAAAAACCAAATTGATTTTAAGACTACGCTCATTTCTAACCCTTAATTTATCATTCTTTCTCATTTTTTCTCAATTTCTTTTTCATTATTCACTTTTTCATTTTTGGTTTCCTTTTTTTCATAAGTGATGCGTCTCTTACTATTTATGGTTGTAGTAAAATGTGTCGCATTTGAGTCTAAAACTGACAAGATAAAAATGGCTTCACAAAGCTAATTTCTCTCCCGCTGTGCGCCATTTTCTCTCGTCTTTGCAGCGTCCAAAAACTCTCAATACTCGAGTGTTCTTTTAAGAAATTCAATATATTTTTAATAAATTAGATTTTAACACTTGAATTGCTCCTAACAAAATTGCTAGCATTTTAATTGATTTATGAACTTAACTTTCATTTTTCGTTTTTAGATTATATTTTCACACTTAAATGACCTCTTAAAAAATAGTACATTCAGTCAAAAGCTTCTCTAGGCTAAACTTTAAGTTTTTCGTTAAATTAGTTAACGAAGGTAGTTTTTGACATGTATTCCAATTTTAACACTTAAATGGCTTTTTAAGAATTGCCAGCAGTTTGATGGCTTTTCAAACCAAACTTTGAATTGTTCATTGAATCAATGATCTTTTTAACTTCTTTGTCCATTAAAGTTGTTTTACTTTAACTTTTTTCCCCATTTTTGGTATGTGTGCTTTTGTTGCTCGTGCAATTCGATAATGAAATTAGTGTATCGTTTTTATTTATATTCCACAAAACGTGGAATTTTTAGACGGGTTTCTTAACAGCATCGATACGAAAGAATGGCAGTGAAATCAATAAATAGCACTAAAATGGCTTCTCTAATTGAGCAAGCAGCATTCAAATTGTCAAGTGGTTTATCAGTTATTCAGTGTCAATATCATGTTTTTCATTCGAGGGAACAAAAAGACTTCAAGTGCGAGATGGCAATTTCAGTATTTGAGGTAGCACTAAAGTGGCTTTTTTTGTTGAAGAAGTGCATTGTAGTTTACGTAATGTTTATAAATCAGGGGAGTGCCAGAAAAACGGCTTCTTAAGAGATAGAGTAGCACTAAAATGGCTTCTTAATTGGCATGAGATTGCACTTAGATGGTTTCTTTAAAAGTTCCTTCTATTTTGTAGTTTCTTCAAATAAACTTGTTTCTTTTACATTTGAAGAAGCAGTATACAATTAAGAATGACTTTTTACGAAGTAATTTTCCTTCATTTTTGAAGGAATTGCACTGGAATGGCTTCTTTGGGTGGGGTGAATTGCATTTAAATAGTTTCTACAGTAGCTTGATTCTACATTTGAAGAAAAAGCACATGCAGGAATGGCCCAAGGAATGGCTTTTTACTTGATAATTTATTTCAAAGGGTAGTACTAAATGTCTTATTTGGTAGTGAGGTTGGCACGTAAATGGCTTCATTTACCGGTAGCATTATCAGTATCCATGCCCTGACTTCGATCAGCCGAGAGGTCGTTCCAGGGTTCGATAAGATTTAAAGGTTTTTGAAGGAATAGCTGATTAACACCTGCATGGCTTCTGAAGCAACACTAAAAGGGTTTCTCTTGACAAAGTTGGCACACAAATGGTTTTCCGACTAAAATATCAGCATCATTTCCTTGATCCCCTTGTCATGATTTTCCTAATCATTCAGATTTACTTTTCCATAAAATCATTCGCTTATTGTCGCAATAACTATCAAGTTTTCTGCTATGCTTTTATTTAAAATTGCTTAAAACTGAAAATTATTCCAAAAGTGCGATAACTTTTTCGATCCTTTAGTTCCCCTTGATTTTTAATCTTTGTAAAAATTTCAATAATCGCGTTTAAGTTAGAATCAACGCTTAAGCACGAATCATGCATAACATCCTGACTAGCTTAGTCACCCCATACCTAGCGTTCATCCCGAAGGTCTTCAATTTTAAGAAGGAAAACACCCTGGCATTTATCCACGGATTATTGCGTTATACATCTCCCTTGTCACGTGATTACACCACAGGAGGTCGCTTAAAGCCGATTTGGAAGATTGACACCAGTACTACGTCATAATGACCGCATGGCGGGTCCATATCACCAGGTATCTACCCGCAACTCTACTAACGATACTTTAGTTACTATGCTCTAAACCACATATATTTGAAACAATAAGTTCGACTAACGTATGAGTTATCATTTCAGTAAAAAGCTAAAAAAATAAAATAAAATAAAATAAAACATGAATAGCGGACAAAACGTTTGAGTGTGTGTGGTTAGTTTGGATTGCTATGATTGTTAAAACCACTTTGAGTTAAATAGTCTTATCTTTAATTCCAAGAAAATATAGGAGAAACTTTTGTCAACTTTCTTTCCTTATCTGTATAGATTTCGCGCTTGCTTAATCATCCCACAGCCTCGCTGTAATAACTTTAAGATTTCATAAACCCGACGACATCGATACAGGAGATTTTTTTCAATTTTCAAAGAATTTTTTCCTTGATTAGATTCCATAGGTTTCGTGTTTGTTTTGGTTAGATAACCCTGTGAGATATCCCCATGGAATGAAGAAACCATAGTGACATTATATCATCTTGATCGCTCGGAAACAGTTTTTATACGTCAGTGAACAATTGAGCTATTATCGCCGGCCTCGCGAGAGATCATTCACTCGATTCTGCAATCTAAATATTGACGAAAGGAAAACCTCGCGATAGCATCGACTAATGATTCTAACTTTCTTGACAAAAAAGGCGCCGAGCCGGCCCCTATTGATAACAGTCGTAGCTTCATTATATTCTCATTTCCTAGAAGAGAGATACGCTTGAGATTCATTGGGTATATTATCCTCTACCACTCGTGTGACCCCGTCCAACCCGTTGGGTGGTCCGGTCGATTTATTACCTATTTGTAAACAAATATTTGGAAACAAAAGACATGGTGTCCATAAACAAACGTACTAGGTGGTCTAAGATAAATATGACAGCATCACCTCACATTTGTCTTTACTTCCATCGACCTTGTGCTGATCAAGACCTCGTTCACGGACGAACAGACCGAAGTATTTGGAACTGACTTCAATAAGGAAGGAACGTAACTATGTTCTCAAACCTTCAAGGGTGCTACCACGTTTCACCTTATTTGTATAATCCCTCGATTCATTCTCAAGTGGCTCCGTGTACAAACTTTGGATGTTCAGTTGGTTCGTTGTACAGATATTCTCCGAGTGGATACGTCTCGCCCTTCCATGGAGGAGTCTACTTTCGCGACTATGAACCCCTTCCAAAGCCTCCTTACTCCTATGTAGCCTTGATTTCAATGGCTATTAAGCAATCGAAGGACAGCAAAATCACTTTAAGTGGTATTTATCAATTCATCATGGAGAACTTCCCTTACTACAGGCTGAACAAGCGTGGATGGCAAAACAGTATCCGACATAATTTATCGCTGAATAAATGTTTCGTTAAAGTACCACGAGAAAGATCCGATCCGGGAAAAGGATGCTATTGGACCTTAGACCCTGCATACCAAGAAATGTTTGAAGATGGGAACTTTAGGAGACGTAGAAGACGACACCAAGCTTACCACAAGCAGTCCACAGCATCACAGGATAGCGTAGATAAGGACTCGGAGAGCGTTGATTGTATCTCTAACGAGAAAAGGAGTGAATCTATGGAAAATGATGAATTAGGAGCCAGAGAATTGATCACAGAGGCAACTAATCCGAGCATAAACTCGCAAGGTCTTAAAAAGTACTCCACGGATAGCCCCTCGAACGAAGTTAAAGATAGATTAACAACCGATAGACAATCTAGATTTTCTCCTCATCCATTTAGTATAGAACAAATACTTAACGCCAAGAGCCGTTTTCGATAATCACATGAACTCGAAAGGAAGAAAGACCAGAGCGGAAATATTTCAAGTTGCTGTAAGAATGCGTCCTTCCACAAGATCCAACATCCTGTAAATACCTCTCTCGCTAAAAAAAACTTTTAGTTCAAACGTTCCGTAGTTTTCAATGCCAAATTACTGGCTTCGAAATTGGAGAATTTTTCTCTTCTTTTACGGCCTTAACCGACATTCCAAAAGTCCTGCAATCTTTATTTGTCAAAGTTTATTTAGCTTATTTTTATTCTAAAGAATTAGTTAGTTTCTTGTACTTTGTATACTATTTTATCACGAAACTAAAAATGGCTTACTTCTCAAGATAAATCAAACTTTTATCTCCTTAAAATCATTAAGATCTCTCGTAGTTTAGGAGTTAATGAACTCTAAAATGTAAATACTGATTTCCTTGTATGTTAGATTAAAAATAGAAAAACTGGAAGTTGTCGAGTTTTCTTAGCTGTGACCCCAAAAAACTTGGCCCGCCAAATCAACACGCCTCGACTTCTTCATTTGACAATAAGATTGTGATCCAGATAAATAATTATTACTTGTACAAAAATGAAGATCCTTATCTCTCTAGTGGTGTATAAGAATAAAATGGTCCTCTTGAACTGTGATTGTGTATACATTTAAAGTTGAACGAATTGGACCTCAAAAAATTGCGAAGTTTGAATGCGGTTTTTATTCAACTTAATTCAAGTACTTCTTTATTCTTAATCAGATTAATTTATTCTTCCTCTTCTTGTTCACTAAACTTTAAAGTATTAATCTTCAAAACTTCCTCGAAATCTCTGTATATTTTCATTCCAGTCAAATTAAAGCCAACTTAATTTGTGTAAATTTGACGCTCTAAGCTTAGAATGTTTGCAAAACTCCAACTTGTTTTACCAAATTACATTTCTGACCAGACATGTTTTTTTTTCTTTGTCAAAACGATAGGAAGCATTTGAACTAAACGACCAATTCTAAATTAAAGTCCTCTCTTTAAAATGTAAAATTTCGGCTTTCAAATTTTTCCCAAGCCTTCGAAATTTATATGAAATATTTTCAAGATTTCAAAACAACTTCACATCTTTAAAACAAAATGTTGATGACAAAGTAAATATGGTCTTAGACCTCAACTTTTCGTTTCTGGTTCTTGGCAAGTCTTGCCTAAGATAATTCAGTATTATATAAACATTTTGTTAAAGTACTGATAGACCATTAAACCTGAGGTCAATATTGACAATTCCAATGGATAAACAATTACTAAACACAGCTTTTTTGCCTTTATTTCTATACAATATTATAAAATATATTTAGGGAAGTCAATGGTAACGCTTCTCGCAACCGGCGGCTCAAAAAATTGCATAAACCCTCTCGCTGTTTCCTTAAGGCCTCGCGAAGTTAAATTAGATATTTTTTAAAAACAGTCAGAATAACTCTTAGATTTCCGGTTTTGGGAGCCAAGCTGTCTCCAAATACTGTATAAACGGAGTTGTGTTTCTCTAAGCAAGTCGCTAATCAATAAGGATAACTTTGGCGTTTCCGATTCGAGGCAGGAGAAAGGTTGCTAAGGGATCTCGTGATGGATCCAACTTGTGTATTATCAAAACAATCATTCCTCCGTTTACAAACCGGACTAAAATTAAAAAACACAACAATCGGTGAGAACAAGTTGACCGTATAAACATTTAAAATCCGTTGTTATTGACTCAAATTTTGCGACGTGTCGACGAATGGTTTTCGTTTTTCCGGGGTGTTTTTGATTAGGATTGAATGCGCTGTAATAAGCTGTTTATAGACAAACGCCTGGGCCTCAAACTCTGTAAAGGCTACACGGCAATCTATAACTCTAGAAAATCTTTATTTCGCTTTTGACTCATTGAGTTCAACGCAATTTTTTTCGCTATTTTAAACGACAAAAATCATTTCCCTTTCTCTATTGTTTATTGATGAATTTTTTTATCGCAGATGCCTGGGTGTTAACGTTGTTTTTCTAACCACATTTCGTTGATATTTTGATATTTTTCATACGAATTATAAAAGCTGTTTTCTGTTTTTCTATTTATCATTTTCTATATTTAAACAGCTTAACATTTTCAACACATGCCATATAACTGATTTTACCGGCTCTTAAAATAGCAGTCAAAGCTCTGAACGTTTTTATTTAACAAACAGAAACATTCAAAAACTCAAAGAATTTCAACACTTTTTGATATAAGTTTATTTCTAATTTTGCTGGCGACTTTTCTTGCACGACTATCGTTTCTATATTTGCCCAAATTATTAAAAAAATTGCCGATATTCACCGCCTTTTGTGCGCTTATCCACAAAGGAATTTTGACACTGAAAGTCAAACATGTATATCAAAATATTTTACCGTCTTAATCATAATCTTTACAAATAACATTTCTAAATATATATTTATTTGAGAGAAAATAAAAGCTAAAATCTCTTTAAGAAATTAAAGCTTCTGTGATTCTTGGAGATGTTGTAAAAAAATAAGGACTGATTGCGAAAGGAATAAACTAAATCCAATATTACTGATATTTCGAGCCGGAATGGACTAAAAGCGAAAGTTGAAAATTCTGCGAATTTGCAACTTCAAAAATAAGCGCTTACTTTGCTCATATTTTTTTACCGTTTTTACTCCTTTTCTATTATTTTTTATCTTAAGACAAAATTCTAAAGACGGTTTTTTGGATTCAAAATACAGAGGAATGGTAAACAGTTTACTTAGTTCACAAGAGTTGAATAATTTTCGGATTTCAAACATGAAGTATAATATCGATAGATAAACGGGTCGATTCGAGTCTTGTGTCATTAATCCCAAATTAAACAGTCAAAAAGAAAACATCTTAGCCAAGATAGGGAGTGTTTTATCTCGACTTTGAGCTAATTATCTTGAGTTATTCAGAGCTTTGTTATTGTAATAATTCAAGCGGCTAGTTTTGGCATTGATTCGTTAGTTCATGAGTCGCGAAGGGATAGCGTAGAACGTTGATGGGGATTTGCCTTGAACTGTGCTGGGGGTGTAGTCCACTCCGCTTCCTCGAAGATTAGTTTTTAAACATCTTTGAAGAGAACAAATGTTACTGTTATTTTATATGGCTTAAGGGCTTATGATTTACTTTAAAAATATCTATGGGTTTAGCTTTGTGGTATTAGAAGAAACTCATGAAGTTTCCTGGGATTTTCCAGGCAAGATCCGTTCCTTGTGGAGCGAGGATACAATACACACTGTAACGTACACGAAAGCCATGACAAACAACAACGACGACAAACTATTTTCTACTTTTTTAAAAATTATCGAACGAAAGAACAGTGCTAAGAAACCATTTTTTTGTTGTTCATCTTAGTTTAACTTTTCAGTCTCGCTGGCTTTTAGACAATATCCCAACGATTTGTAAATATTATCTCTGGAATGTTATTCCTAAAACATCTTAATTTTACAATAAGTGAATGTAGAACAGAGCTCGATACTTGAGTGCTTTCTTAGATACAATAGGGAAATTAGAAAAAGCCGGTTCCTATTGTCCAAAAGATATCGATTCCTACTTTACCGGGAATGATATCGAGATTAACGGTTTAAGGTTGGGAAGGAGACCTTCATACTAGTAAATGATGTTTATACCAACGGCTTCTTGCTTAAGAAACTTACTACGCCTTGACTCGGTTCTCTTGCTCTTACGACTTCTCTGTCAGTTTTTCACGAATGAATTCTCTAAGCTTTATTCTTATCCTTTATCAAAGATTGAGTGAATTTTCGCTTTGGCTTAGTACATTTTCACCTAAGTGAGTACGCATTAGACCTTTATTAATATTCCTTTGGGACTTAAAAAGAAATAGGGCATTTTTACAGAGGGAGAAAAAACTGGAGAACCTAGAGAAAATCCTCGTGGCAAGGGCAAGAATAAGACATCAAACAAACCCCCCTCGACTAACATTTTGATTTTTACAGAGAGAGGAAAACCCGGCGACCTGGAGAAAACCGTTGTGGCACAACCAAACAAACTCAATTTACAAGTAGATTTTTGTGGAGGGAGGAAAACCGGAGAACCTGAAAAAAAACCCTTGTAACAAGCAAGAGAACACTATATCCGAAAAAACTCAACTCAACTCAACTCACATGTTGATTTTTAAACCAGAGAACCAGGAGAAAAACCCTCGTGGCAAGGGAGAGCAACACAACACTAACAAACTTCTCACATAGGCTCAGAATCGGTTTGTTTCTTTCTCTCTCCGTCTTCCTTCATTCTTTCCCTCCACCCTTTCTCTTCACAATAACAGCACTAGTGCAGCACTGATTTATCAACGAAACACATTTTTCTAACGACTTTATTCAAAAACTATAAATACTACTAACTACAACGCTATAGAATAATTCAATGGCAAAAGTATTTAAGATAAAACTTTTGTAACATGCAAAAAAAAATTCCTTATTGACTAACATTTCGACTGTAATCGCATGATTGATGAACTGAACGACTCAGCGAAGGAAAAGAAGTTTGTAGAAGATTTTGTTTTATTTCTGCTCATTTGAACTGTTATTGATACTATAATTTATCATCAGCAATCTTTATTTCTAAAGCTAGATTACATTAAATTTTTTAACTCACATCCATCGAGGAATGATATATCATTCCCAGCGAAAACAATCAAGATATTATCAAGATATATATTTCAGGATAATCTTGGAAATAGCACATACAATTTTCTTTTCTGTTCAAGTTTCTAGTTGACTTCAGCAAAAGTATTTGGTTTAATTTTCTGGTAGAAAAATTAACATATGCTCTTTACAAAAGTATGTATATGCATTTTTAAAACTTACAGTCAATTCTTTCGAAAGATTCGACTTCGACCAACATGATGTAAGCTCAGTTTCGTAGGATCAGAAAGATAATTCAACCGGTTCTTCAAATCAGTCATATTACTCCTCCATTAAGATTTCGCCAGAGATATTCTTTAAAATAAACCTTGAAGTTTCAAATATTGTAGGCGAATTTTAGTTCCTTCGCTGTGTGAACAGACGTTTTGAGAGATTATTGGTACATCTAGATCTCGATAAATTATTTCGGAGTTACAAAGCTGAGTTTCAGTATCAAACCACACACCTTGCTTGCTCGTTTACACAGCTAATCCCACAAAGTTTGTTCAACAAACTGTTAAGTCTTATCAAACATAACCAGAACTGAAAATATTGACTATACAAATATCAATGATACTTAAATGTAACTCTATTCGCTTTGTAATCGCTTCTGAACCTCGAAAGTGCCCAGGAAAAACAACTTGAGGTTTCATTTAAGGAAATGGTTAAATGAGAAGTTGGAAGTTAAGGTCGCGCGCGTTGTTGGGCGATGGATTTTTTTACATGATTTTTCCCCTGCTGGCAGAGGTCTTTCTCTGTCCTTCGTTATGGCTTCAGGTCGGTCCCTGAACAGCCTGCCGCTCAGTTCTATGGAGGGGAAGAAAACTAACCTCTGTTCGCAGGGTTACTGGTGTTATCTGGTACGAATGATATTTGTACGTTAGAAATATTAATTCTTAGTTTGTATTCGAAGACAGAAAGCTATGAGACTGATTTTGAAGAGGGTGCTGTAAAGAGGACGTGGTGAAAACAACTATTTGTATTTTAAGCCCACAGAAGGAAAGAAATGAATAGAAGACTGAAAGGGAGAGGAAATAAAGAAAAGGAAAACTGTTGTTCATTGAAATGGATACAGGAACTAAAGAAAAAAGAGCAGAAAGGAAAGGAAAGGAAAGGAAAGAGAAGCGAAGAGAAGAGAAGAGAAGAGAAGAGAAGAGAAGAGAAGAGAAGAGACAGCACATCAAAAAGAAATAGAAAGTACTGAGTAAATGAGAGAAATATAAAATTAATGACTAGGAAAAAAGAGAAGCGTAAGAAAGAGAAAGGAAAACCCCAATTATTGCCTCTACCCCTGCTAAAAGAAACCTGTAAATAATTTAGCCCAGCGAAACGATTCTGACGCCAAGAAGAGATTAGTTTTTGTGTCTGGACCAAATTGTAACTCAATTCTTATCTATATGTACACGTATCATTGTATCATCTGATGGAACCAAGTCGTTAAGTCGCTTAAAACACAAGTTAGATAGAATATTCCTTGCTGCGTGTCTGAACAAAAAAACTTGACCAAGCAATTTTCCAAGTTAGTTAGAACAATGACAAAAGATAAACTGTTCTATTCAAGGTATACAAGTCAATGTGCGCTTTATAATTGAGCGGTTTTTACAGATATAACTTGATTAGGATATACCCTTGTGTGCTTGCTTTTCATAGAGAAAATAAGAAACAATAGTTTCCCAGTGGTTGAGCGCGCTGTGCGTCGAGTGAGCAGGAAGTCTAAAGAAAAAAAAAAAAAAAACCCAGCAGATTAGGCGGCATGTCTAAGGGTTTAAAGCTGGGCGTATCTCTATACGTGTACATCATAGTAGGAAGCCATTTATAGATCGTCAGACACGGATTGGTTTGTAAGAGCTCAGCATGTATCGTTATATTGAAATATTGGGGTATTGATCATCAATCACGTCCGAGTTAGTGCCCTGTGTGAGACTCGTACCCAGGTTATCGTGGATATTTGAGAAGAGAGAGACTGGGAACCTATGTCAGGGATTCTCACTGAGGGAACGCCAATCTCGTTCCCAGAGTCCTCCAGCGCCTTCCGACGCCAGCCCGCTGACCAAAAAACAGGAAGACTCTGGGCTCGAGAGAGGGAACGCTAGAAAGATTTTCCCAGCCAAAAACCCGAAAATCCATCCAGTAATATCAGATATTTAGTACCATTTATGTCCAGTTATATCGGGATGTTCTCCAGTAACTAATATCGAGATATTTGGTTCAGTTTATTTCTATTTTCTTTTTTTCCTTTTTTTTTTTTTTTTTTTTTTTTTTTTTTTTTTTTTTTTTTTTTTTTTTGTTTTTGTTTTTGCTTCATTCTTCTTCAGTCTTTTATTAGTATTTTTTCATCGGTTAGAAAAGGAACGTCGACAAAGTACGCTCCGCTCGCCAACAACTTCAGTCACTAAACTACAGCATTTCTCCTCAACCTATATTTTTGTTTTTTCATCCTGAGTGAGCAAACTTAATAAATTTACGATTTTCCATTATCTCATAAGATCTTTACTGTTCAAAAGGATTACACAAAGCCGTTAATGCTCAACCCAATTTAATTTTTTATGACTATAAATCAATGTGTTTTTCCCCTCAAATGCTTTGTTAAATCATCTGTTTATTCAATCATTAATTCTAAATGCAAAAACATTCCAACCTGATATCTTAGTCTAGAAATCTTTAAAGAATTCCTCGTTTTATCGGTATTTATAATCAATGAATTGCCGAAGATTTCTGAGAGTTTTTCTTAAATAATTACATCTGCAGTTCTCGACTCGGTCAGCGGACATATATACGTCATAGGAATTCTCACAACTTCAAACGCTCCCGATTAAGTTATGCAATCTTATTCTACTTGGTTTGGTCGCTTATGTTTCTTGTTTTTAATACAACAAGTCGTATAGACGTGGTGTTGTTTGCTTGGAAAAACAACATCTGGAATCTTAGAGGAAAAATTAATGAGGGAAAATTTCGCTCGGAGCAGAAGTGTTGCCCAGCATAATCTGACATCTTCGCTGTCACTTCAAAAAAAATCTTCTTCGCACCCCTTTGTGGGACAAGAATTTCGTCTTCGTTTCTAACTCGATAGACAGAAGAGAAAAGCTCAATCTCTGTTACCAGAGCTGTAGAATTCAAGCGAGAAAAACACGGTAAAATTCATTCCTAAAACCACAAGCCCACGGAGCGATTTTCCTTGCATTTATTATCACGGCATCCAGCGAGTACTAATGAGAAAAAACCAAGAAGGAATTATATATGAAACGATAATTATTGAAATTTAAAAACAAATTAATTGTTTAACATAAAAAATTCCGTAAGCCATTTTAACTACTTCTACGTTAATTTCCACTCATTAAGTTTTGAATTTAAACAACGGAAAATCAGACAACATTTTACCAATGAGACAGAAAGCTTCAACCTTTCGTCAGGACCACCGCTGCAGATCTAAATTCATTCCTCGTAAGATACGAATGTCTAGAAAAAAGAGCGAAATTTTTAGCGGTGTTTGAATACAATTTCGCTTGAATTCATTTTCCCCCGCTATTCGTTGATTTGAATCTTCAATTTATTTAATTCATTCGGATATACCTAGGGTTTTTCCACGATTCGTGGTTTTATAAGCCAGACTCCTTATCTGTCAAGAACCAAGTCAAGTGTGAGATACTCGCTCAATTCAAGGGTTGAAAACAGACTACCATTTAATCACTTTTTATCGTTCTAGTCTTTATTTTTTGAGCAAATTATTCCTTATTTTTGAGCGATGGAGAGCGGGAAGCGAAAGCTAGATTACGAATCATTAACACAGAAGAATGACAAAGATAGAAGAGACCAAAAGCGAGCGAAAAGAGAAAGGCCCATATCTCCCGACAGCCAGGATGCTGATACAGAAGAAAGCGAGTCAGAAAATGACGAAGTCGCGGACTTTGAGAAAGAAGACGACGCAGAATCAAAAGAAAGTAACCAGACGCAGTTTTCCACTCAACGTCGCATATGTTTAGTCGGGTCGTTGTTGCTCTGTGTATTTACTATCTTCGCCTTCGCTTTCATTTTACCTTGTCATCATGAGTCCTGCGCGAAGGATAGAGAATGTGGAAACAAGCCGTTGAAACACTGGTCTAAGAATTTCAGCGGAATGGCACCGTTGGTCTTGAGAGACTTTAATGACGGGAAATACAGTCAGGAGAATTTGCTGGTAGGGTATAGATTTCCTGGTAATGGTGGGTCTCGTAATACCAGTTGCCCAGGAAGGCATTGCCAGGGAGTTTTATCTTTGAAAGGTTGTAATGGCAAGTCTCTTTGGAGCACAGACATCGACGGAATGTTAGGGAAAGTCCAGTGTATAAAACATGTCAGGAAGAAGAACCATTTCCAGGAAGGATCAGGGTGTTTTGTCCAGGAAGGGAAAGACAAAGTGATTTTTATCGATACGGTGAATGGCAACAAGAAATGGCAGGCAGAAAAATTGGGAGACGTTAGTTCGTTCCGAACGATCCCAGACATTGATGGCGATCATTTTCAAGATATCTTACTTCTTCATGCCTCGCCAAACCCTCGGCTAGACCGGTCAAGACGAGCTTATACTCTAGGTAAAAATACTCTAAAAGTATTATCAGGAAGATCGGGCAAACTGATTGGAACGAGTGTTCTACTCTCTATTTTTCTTCAAATCAGCAAAGAACATGTGTTTCTTCGAATACATCGCGTTTCTGCAACACTACATTACATCCTCATCGGAATCAAACCAGAATCCGCCAAAACTGGTACTCTCCTCGCCATAGAAGTACGAGATCTATCAAACAGGGTCCATAATTCTTCCATCGCGAAGAGAAGAACACCCTGGGGTTCGAACGAGCCGAATGAGTTTGGCTTCATCGAGTTGTTCAAAGACACCTTGGTTCTGACGTCACCGCTGCTTGCGGATTTGAACAAAGACGGAGTTGAAGATGTCGTTCTATGTAGTCTTGATAATGGAGTTACGGTTCAAGCCCTTGATGGTAAAAATGCGGCGGAGATCTGGTCGAGGAGACTGACGGTGGGAGTAAATGACAGGTAGGTCGGCATGAAGTCGTGTCAAGAGATTATACTAAAAAACTCGCTTTGTGCTGTGCCGTTACCGTGACGGTAGATCGATGTCAGGTCATGGCTAACTCACAGAACAAACCCTGAAACTACCTCTGGGCTGATCTAAGTCAGGGCATGGCTAACTCACAGATCAAACCCTGAAACTACCTCTGGGCTGATCTAAGTCAGGGTATGGCTAACTCACAGATCAAACCCTGAAACTACCTCTGNCAAACCCTGAAACTACCTCTGGGCTGATCTAAGTCAGGGTATGGCTAACTCACAGATCAAACCCTGAAACTACCTCTGGGCTGATCTAAGTCAGGTCATGACTAACTCACAGAACAAACCCTGAAACTACCTCTGGGCTGATCTAAGTCAGGGCATGGCTGACTCACAGATCAAAACCTGAAACTACATCTGGGCTGATCTAAGTCAGGGCATAGCTAACTCACAGATCAAACCCTGAAACAACCTCTGCGCTGATCTAAGTCAGGTCATGGCTAACTCACAGAACAAACCCTGAAACTACCTCTGGGCNAACTCACAGATCAAACCCTGAAACAACCTCTGCGCTGATCTAAGTCAGGTCATGGCTAACTCACAGAACAAACCCTGAAACTACCTCTGGGCTGATCGAAGTCAGGGCACAAGTTTCGGCTAAAAGTTTCAGCATGTAACAAGGTTTTTAGTTTTGAAACTCGCGCACCACACTAAAACTATGCGTTCTACTGATACCTGAAATAAAACCCCATGATTTTCATTAATGTTTATCATGTTTATATTTCCAGTGCTTTACCAGCCATTGTATCCCTTGGCAACTATTTAATTGACGTCGCCGTCATGATTAAGCTTAACAACCATTCGTCAAGAATTGTGGTCCTCAATGGAAAAAACGGAGCAGTTCGATGGCTGTTCACACTTACTAACCCCCTTCCCGTCCCCCCCTTGGGAGTACCCAAGGCTGATGGAATCCCAGAAGGGTTGTTGCTATGGTTACCCAAGACGAAGGTGAATGGATACATGACGGAGAGATATCGAAAATACCACGGGAATGACGAGACTGTGGCGAAGAAGAAGAAAAGAGATGGACCAAGAAGAAGAAGAAGAGATTTGAGTGATGTTGTTCATGACTTACTGGAGATGATGAATGAAGGGAAGTCGCGTGATGAGGGAGAAGAACACGTGATTGATGACCTGCAAGCCATTGTTGATGATGAGGATGATGGCAATGATGACGATGATGATGGAGGTGATGATAATGAGGAAAGTAACGGTGGTGGTGACGTAATTGATGGCAATATCAATAAAGAAAGTAATCATCGTAAAGATTCTAAAGCTATAGTTCATGATAAAGATACAGAAGATCGCAGTGATGTTACTGATGTAAAGAGTCTCAGCGATAAGGATGTCTATAACACAGATAACCAGGAAAATATAAAAACCAGCCTCGTGGAAACCCACGAAAGTGCCTTAGAAGATAAGCCTTACGGAAATAATCCAGTTAAAATAAAACCTGATAACCCGACCGATCACCAACCATTCTCCTATGACACCAAACCTGATAATCCGAACGACAACCGACCATACTCCTATGACACCACACCTGATAATCCGAACGACAACCGACCATACTCCTATGACACCAAACCTGATAATCCGAATGACAACCGACCATACTCCTATGACACCAAACCTGATAATCCGAACGACAACCGACCATACTCCTTTTACATCAAACCTGATAATCCGAAACGACCATACTCCTACGTCATCCATCCCACACCTACTAAAAACTCTGAACAAACGAGATCAATCGATTACGAGGCGCTGAAAAAATTCCTTAAAAAATTAAAAGAGAATTTACGATCAAAGCAACAACCACAAGCTACGAAGCCGACTACAGCTCTGCCAACTCCGAGGACCAGGTTTGAGTCGTTCAAGGAGTCTCCTCACACGAAAGAGAAAAATAAAAAGAGAGAAACACTACAGAATTCAGCGCCTTTGAAAAATTCTTCTGTAGAGGTCAAAAGCACGATTGAAGCGAACAAGACAAAGAGAGGATTCTTCACGGGGAAAGAACGTGACAAGTCTTTATTGCTAGCTTGTGCCAAGCAAGAGAAGGATCTGTCTAAAGAACTAAGCGTGGTGTTGGTGTACAGGGACGAGAAACGATTACGGATGATGGAGATCACAAAAGATGAAATCATCAGCTTAGGTAAATATAATGTCAGTAATTGATGTTTGCAAATTTTTGTATGACTGTGAGAAAAGTCATGGTACTGGCGTGACATACTGTGACCGTGACGGTAACGTAATGTAGCATTCTGATTGGTTGAGCAGCGGTCTCGTGCGCTTTGATTTGCTGAGTAGCGGGTGTCGGCAGTCACTCCGTACCGTGACCGTGACGGTGACTTCATAATTATATCAAGTACGTTGATTGGATAAGTGGTGACTTCGTGCACAGTGGTTGGTTAAAATTCCATGCCGTGCCGTGTCATGCCACGTTTCACGGTCATACAGTTACATCTCATGATATTCCTGTTCCCATTTTCCAAATCTTGGTTATTCTTTATTACCCAGAATAGCTGAATATTGGGTGTGGGGAAGGAGTCGTAGTCCCGATAGTAGCCCACCAGTTAACTTCCTCTTTTCTCTGGAAGAGGGGGAGACGAAATTGCACGCGTTTTCTGAAAAAAGAAATATCATTTTTTTACCCTCTTTTTCAGATCCACATGAGTACAAAAAACAGTTTGGTGAACCACCGCCCACCGCAAACTGCCAACACTTTATTCCACACGTAAAATCCAAACCACTCGTGAAGGATATCGACGGGGATGGAAGACTTGACTTGATATATGTCCTAGAATACCGCAATACTATAATCCCTGATGGATACAAAAAAGAGCGTTTCATGAAAATTAAGAAACTAGATATCCGAGATGCAATATTGACAAGGAAATCAAAGAGGGTTAATTATTCTAGTTATGAGAGCAAAAGTTCTAAGAGAAACGAAAGGTTTGACTCGCCATTTGCGCAGTGGAAGACAGACTGATTCCTCTTTCACAAGTCAGTGTTTTTCAATAGAATGTGCGGAATCGTCGGCGCGATGAAGTAGGTTTTTTTGGTGGATGTCAATCAAGGCGTTTTCGTGACATTCAACAGACACGCGTTCTTCAAACTTTGGATTTTCCGACAATGTCATGGAAACACTTTGATTGACGTCCACCTAAACCTCAGTTTTTAATCGCGACGATGATTCCGCGATTCCTCCCTTCTAATGAGAAGCACTGTAAACCAGAGGAAGTCTGGTGCTAATGGAGCTGGACACGAGATTGTAAAGCTTTTACATCTCCTGTCCAGATTCATCCCATAATCCAATGCACCATAGGGACAGATTTGAATTCGTAATTTTAAGGGTTCAGTGAAAGTCAGACCCCACTAATACGTTTTTAGTTAATATGGAAAGAAATGATCAGTAAAGTTGTTAATTCTGTAAAGGGTAAACTGGGAAATGCAATAAACAAAAACACAATTTTTGAGATTTTAAAATTTACTTTTAAATTACTATTATCGCACACTGCACATGAGTGTGATTTCCTTTCATTGCCAATGTCGTTCCTAGGGTCTTCTTGGCCGAGAGGACCCCTGGGTGGGGATTTGTGATGTCACATTCGTTCTTGCAGTCTTCAAATTTTGAAAAATGCTTGCATATATAGGTAGGTACCTTGAAACACCCTCTGGGCTTATCTACGTCAGGGCACAGCTAATTCACAGATCGAACCCTGATAAACCTTGGGGCTGATCTAAGTCAGGGCATGACTAACTGACAGATCGGATTTGAATTTAGGTAGGGAGGAAAGAATTCTCAAATCAAAGGAGAGACCTAACAAACTCTACTCACATGTGTTGTTAAGGAGTTAAGCACAAGACCCCAGTAGTAGAACAACAGTCATGACAATTTTTTTAGAACACTCCTCTCCTCTCTCCCACACCCTACTTGTATACTTAATTAAGTGACCAGAGTGCAATTAAACAAACATCAAGTCTGGATGTAATATTGATGTTGAAATCATAGCCAAGTTATCAAAACAAGCTTTTTAAAGGTTAACATGTTTGTTTATAAATAACACTAAACCACACGCAAAGAAAACTAAAATTAATCAAGATTTATATCTAAAGACAATAATTACAATGTAATCTAAAACGCTCTCCTGACATTCAACTAATTGACAGATTTATTAGTTACATTAGAAATTATCCATACTACCCCCCCCCCCCCACCCCAAGGAATTTAGAATTTCCAAGGGGTGGGGGTCAAAGAAAGAACAAAATTACAGAGTTTGTATGGAAGACAATCAGAATTTCTGGGGGTAGGGGGGATGGGGGTCTTTACGAAAATTCCTCCTTGGGGTATGGATAATTTCTGGAACTTCACATTTTTAGATTTCATGCTAGAAGACCTTTTGTAGTTTATAAAATACCACTGTTTCCCTTGATTACAGACTAGTTTACTCAGGGTTTTCAAAAGATGGATGATTATTTTCTCTTGCACGAGAATAATACTTAATCAAAATAGCAAAACTATTATAAATACTTCTTAGATTAGGGTATGTTAAATTGTTAAGAGGTCTTGAAATTCCCTTGAATGACGACGAAACAATGGTTCCAAGTTGAGGGCTTGATGTATTAAAGACATTCATACATTAAATGCATTTTATCAAACCCAACCTTGGCTTGAGACCAACGTTTAGTTTTTCAATTTTGTATTCCCAAAAGATACCCACAGACTTTAAGAAAAAATTACATTCCTAAAAACACTGTTTTCTTGGCCTGCAGACTCTCTTGTGAAAAATTAATCTTCCTTAGTACTTAAGCATTCCTTGTTCCACACTCTATTGATGGAATAACTTACACCAATTTCAAAAATAAAATCATTGTCAAAGCCAAAGAAGATCTGTGATAAGCAATAGAGGCTTTGCACCATCAAGATATGGCATCCATGACAAGAGGCACAGCAACAGTCTTTTTTCCCCAGGGAAACTGAATTCTTTCTTGTGTAAATCAGGTTAGGTCAGGTTCAATTGTTCCTGCCTCCTGTCATGGCTGTGATCACATGATGGTGCAAAGCCTAGCTCATTTCAGGATCCAAGAATAGATCCCCTCGCATGTGACGTCAAAGCAGCTCAACTTGGAGGACAAAACAAAAGAACTTCAATCTAATGAGAATTGGAAACCTATTGTTTTGTCCTCCAAATATTGAGCTGCATTCCAATGTGGTGCAAGGGGTCTATAAATTGAATAACTTGAGTTCCTTATTATTATTGTCCAGAAGACAAAGTCTAGAGTTGATATATTTATGTTGCTCAGTTTTGTTGCTTGTCAGTGGACAAAATACCCCAATTTGAAAAATTTCTAAAAGTTTTCATGTTCATCCTTTTGGTCTTGCAACTTCATACTTTGCCTCTGGCAACCTTTTTTGAAATAGGTATATTCCACAATACTGTGTAAGTGCCGATAAGGCAATCCAGTTATCCATAATATGAAATATATATCTTCCATCCACAGTAAAGAGCTGCCGCACCTGCAATAGCATTATGAAGAATTTTCCTATATTTGTCATCAGTCCTTAATAGTACAACCGGGGACGATGACATTCCCCCTGGTAGTTGTGCTAGTTTTTTAGTGTCATATTCTATTTGGTATTTACAACACGGGTCAAACTGCCATGATACTCCATATAACAAGGCACAGAATATGCTGATGCCGCTAAAACCAAAAGAACTTGGACATCTAAATGCTCTCGGCATGATAAATGGACTTAGTAGTGCTATAGATCCAGTGACAACACATGTCTTGTGTAGGCAGTTACCAACTCGAATCCATCTTGTAGTTTCTTCGCCAATTTTATTAGGTTCTATGATGATAGTGGCGCACCCTGATTCCAGCGCGGCTTCTAGTTTGGCCTCAAACTCTTCATGTGCATCCTCAGAGTCGTAAATTTCATGGATTATTACACAGCTGGCACTTGGCTCCTCTTCTCTTGGAGATCTAAAGAAATGACATAGAATTGTTAAGTCTGTGGTACAGACATTTTCTGGAACTACACAATATACCCTCTTCTGACCCGCCCCACCCCTTGAAAATTCCAATCCCCTTTCATGGGGAAGGTATGGATATTTTCAGGTACTATCCAAATATATACCCTTCCCAGACCCTCCTCACCCCTTGGAAATTGCTTAAAGATGTATTGGCTCCTTCAGGTACTAGACAAAGTTTACGTAATTTGATTGGGGGGGGGGGGGGGGGCCCCAAAACAAGTTATATAATAGAAAAAAGCTAATAAAGAATACAATGTGGTAAATACATGAAGAAGGGTCCAAAGTATCTTTTAGTTACTCAGAAGCAACATAGACAGAATTATTACTCGTTATTCCTTTCGCAGGCAGCAAACGGGAACAGACGAAACAAGTCAGACAGAATGACGATGATGTAATACTTTAACCTTTGAGCCGGCTGCACAGGTCGTCTCTTAGTAAGATATAAATAGCAGTTTACGAAAATCAAGCTAGATATTATGTAACAGCTATCTAACTTATTCTAGATTTAAAGCGCAAAAAAACTAGTTGAAGCAAACGAATAAACCCGGTAAATCTAGTTGAAGAATAAGGTAATCAGTTGACAAAAAATAATATTCAACATTACAGGTAAATTTATATTTCCACTTAAAACAATTTTGTTAACTACAACACCAAAAAAAATCCACCAGGGTCAAGATAAATTCCTCTCCCAGCTATATAAATAGTTATATCCATTAAAAAAGTATGATTTAGGTTAAATATCCTCGTTAAATCAGAGCACACTTCAACTCACCCTTCACTAGCAGCCATCTTGATCTTTGCGCAACCAGGAGACCTGAGTCGAGCATTGATACGAGGCTCTAACCGTGTGCGCCTGGGTACTAGTATCTATTTTTAGCAAATGTCGTCATTTTTTCCCGTCCAAATCCAAGATGGCGTCCTTGTTTGCTTCGAATCCCTTTTCTTCTCCTGTTGGACAAAGAATAGGTCAGCTTGAAACCATTATTTTATTACAATTCCTTCAATTTTATTATCTTGATTTATCCCTCGAACATTTTTGCTTAAAATTTTTTTAGCATTTCATTTGTGTTTAAGAAAAATACGTCGAAGCTTCATGGATGAATTGACTTTGTGAACAAAAAAATACACTCAATTCTCAAGTATTGTGACGGAATTTTTGAAAATTTATAATTATAGAGAGGGCTACAGATGGAGCTTTGGCGTCAGAAGACTGGGCTTTGAATCTAGAAATTTGTGATATTATAAACGAGACAGAAGAGGGGTGAGTAAATCTTGAACATTCTTGATGTCTTATTCACTGACATATTGTAGTACTTCGTTCGTGTAGCAAATCTAACTGCTTCAAGATCACAGATCGCTCTCATTTATAATTTATTTCTAATTGTTTGTTTTGCTTGTATTTTAGGCCTAAAGACGCAATCAAGGCTATTAGAAAACGACTCACCAATAATAAGAATTTTAAAAGTGTTATTTTGACTTTAACGGTAAGTTTATATATAATTTGTTATATAAGCTTAGCTTACATAAGGTTATCAACTTTATAATATTATTATTTATGCATATGTTAAGCTTAATCGTACCTAAAGGCTTCAGTTGTTTGTTTGTATATGCTCTAAAATTCAATTTCGAGTTATTCTTTTTTCTCTCTTCCAACCTTTTTTAAATTGTTTTTGATGACTTTTGAATTAATTTTTAGTATCCATTAAAGCTCAGTTTCTTTTTGTTTGATACTTAATCTTCTTTATTATTTTTCAATTGAAAACAAAAACAAAAGCAAAAGGATTGGCATTTTAACCACATAAAAGAATACATATTTATAGTATTTTAAAAAGCTTTCCTTGAGAAGAAACTTCCTCTGATTTTTCAGGGTCTTCTCTTCTTTTGTTATCTAAGGAAAAATTTCCCATTATGAGTAAATTTTAAGACTTCGAAGTGATCACACAATAATACTTTATACGAAGATGTATCAAGAATGCAAAAGAACAGTCGAAAAAGTTATAAATGCAGATTCACAACTCTCTTTTTACATAAAAATATCAAAAAAATGGATAAATTAACATCTAAAGCTGGGTCTTTTTCTGTTAGATAAAAAAGCTCTTCACATTGCCCTAATACTTAGATTTTATGTGTTATAGTTTATTACTTCAAAATGTTATCATCTCTGGACTGATGAAACTTAGGGCTGGGCTAATTCACTCACAGATCGAATTGGAATTTAGCACGTTATGTTCTGCGATGGGAAAAAAGCCAGAGAGCCCTTGAGAGAAAATTCCATTGAATCAAGGGAGACTAGACCTAACAAAATCTACTCACATAATTGTAAGTCCAGGAATCGAACCTGAGACCCTACAAATGAGAGATGAGTGAACTACTTCTTTACCAACCTCCATTCCCTTAAACATTTTCAAGATTTCTAGTTTGCCTGTAATGTTTTGTTTCTCACTTTATAGGTGTTGGAATCATGTGTCAAGAACTGTGGGCACAGATTTCATGTACTGGTTGCCAAGAAGGATTTTCTTGAGGAAATGACCAAGATTCTTAATCCTAAGGTAAGCTAGGAGTATGACGACTTGCTAACGGTTGAGAAACCAAGATTGAATATTTACCTCTAATTCAACATTGCATGATTAAACTCATTCGTAATTTAAATGGACTGCAGCAGACTATTAGCAGGTAGGGCTATACCCCTACCGACATGCATGTTGATGGTGAATGACAACAGTTAATAAATTGTGTCAACGAATTGACATAAGCATTTGTCTTACCACAGCAGACCAGTGGGCTTATAATTAACTGGGTAATGGGTGGGGGTGTTTAAAACTGGGATTTTAGTGTATTTATGTTTTATCTTCTCCCAGGTTAATGCACCTCAGGTCGTACAAGAAAAGATTCTCTCTCTTCTTCAAGACTGGGCCGATGCATTCAGGAACAGTCCTGACATGGGGAATATCCTACACACATACGAGTCTCTTAGAAACCAAGGTATGTTCGTATAGCAATACCAGCTTGCACACATCAACTTGTTTCCATGGAAACCAAGTTATATTCATCAGTCTTATTGACAAATGTTTGGATCCTTGCTGATGACAAATCATGACTTGATTCGATATTATATGTATAGCAATTATAGCAGTTTTCACCCATTACCGAGTTTCCATGGATACAATTTATTATACTTAATAGAGCATTTTCACTCAGTCCCTAGAGAGTTAACAGACAATAGAAATGGCAGCTATATTGTTGTACCTAACAGAACAATCTAATGACAAAGTTATTGTCAAAGGTACACCAATATGGTGGCTGTGACGTCATGTCTGACAATAGAGATGGCAGCCATATTGGGGTACCTAACAAAAGAAACTAATGACAAAGTTATTGTCAAAGGTACACTAATATGGTGGCTGTGACGTCAATAGAGACAATAGAGATGGCAGCCATATTGGTGTACCTAACAAAAGAAACTAATGACAAAGCTATTGTCAAATATACACTAGTGTAGTGGCTGTGTCGTCATGTGAAAACGCTTTATAGATGCAGGGCTAAACAGAATGGCTGGTCACCAGCCAATGTCTGCCCTTGGTTAAATTTTGACCAGTAACATTGAGCCAGAAACATGGTATGATTGAGCTAAAACTAATTTGGCTGGTCATCCTGACTGGTGACTGACAAGCCAATTATTTTATAGCCCTGTGCTTGTGAATTTCAATGATGAAGGAACGGAAGGATGAACAAATGAACCAACAAATGAGTGAGAATAAATGAATAACATTCATTTGACAATGTATTGTTTTTTTGCTGTTTTAGGGATCGAGTTTCCGCCCAAAGACCTGGATACTTTATCTCCAATATTTACACCAGAAAGAGTAAGTTTGTCCAAAAAAAAAAACAAGGCTTTTTATACCATAATAAAATCAAAAAATGTGTGTTTCCAGTAAATTTCCATGCCCAACTATAGAGGAAATTTTAAAAAAGGTCCCCCGTCCCTCTGGAATTTCCAGTTTTCTTCAATATAAAACAAACCATTTTTTCTCTCACCCCCACGCCCTGGGGATTTCCAATTTCCTCCAAGGTGTGTTTGATAATTTTTCTTCCCCATCCCACACCCATCCCTTTCAGAAAAAATAAAATATATAAAACCTTTATAGCTGAGCAGATTAAATGCAACTTCCACAATCAAGAAAACATGAACTCAATGTTGGAATCACTATTTATGAATAAAAATTAGGAATTTCGAATTCAAAAAATATCTGACAGACTGTAGTCATAATAAAATGCTAAATTAGGCTCACTAGGTTCTTAATTAGGTTCTTAACTTTTGTTCAAGAAATAACAAAGTTTCATTTTAAGTTGGATTTTTTTATTCAATGAGGACATGTTCTTTACTATAACCATGTACAGTTATAGTGTTTATAGCATTATTGTGTACACACTGTGTTATAAATATAGATTGATTCCAATTTTTTTTTTTCTTTTTAAAAAATAAGAACCTGTTTTAGGATTTTAGCCTAAAATGGTTCTTATGTAAAGGGTGCTTAAAAATGAAATTTCAGCCTAACAGGTTCTTAAATTTTAGGTTCTTATACGCGGGTTTTTACTGTAGTTAATTTGAATAATAATCATAATATTGTCAAGACATTGGTTCCTAGAGAGATTAACTGGTGCAGATATGATAATTAAAGTGTAGATATTTGAATTGCAAATCTTGATTTCTCTGTTCATCAATATATAGAGTATCGTCTTCTAGGTAAGATGTGTAGTTTCTGGAAATTATTCTCTTTAAAACTAACCAAAAATGATTTTAACAAAACAATTTATTAGATATTAAGTCTTGCTTTCCTCTTGGACTAAAGATTAAAATTAAACGAACAATAGATAAATAAAGTAAAAATGGATTTTTCAGACAAGTTTTTTTCAGGTTCATGCACCCACATTTAGCTGTATAGCTAGTCTAGGCAGGATTTGTGAAAAATATTTATATAGAATAATTATCTACGTTAAGGCTTCTAAATACAATAAGTTATATTTTGAGTGAGATTTAGTGTCAAGTGTATTTTCCAAAAATTGGTATTTTAGACCTGCCTATATCTAAGGAATATATCAAATAATTTGAAATTTAAAAAAAATCTAATTGAAAATTTTTTTATTTCAGTCACAACCAGAAAGACCAGTTGCACCCTTGGGAGGATCTCCATCACATGTAAGATATATAAATATTAATTATTTTGTATTATTCATATTCTTATTTCCCATTTTCCATTCAATTTCTTTATGTTCATTTCATTTTAACATGAAATGTTTTCTATCCCCTTTTTTTAGTCTTTAACTATTTTTTATTTCATTCATTGCATATAAATTATACTTTATCCCATTTCCATTTCTTCATTTGTCCTTTTAATTTTCTAAATTAGGTTTAGTTTGCATGCAGCTGATATCACCATTCAAGCTTGCTTCACCTAGACATCCACCAGCAGTTTAGATACACTTTCTCCCATTTTTCCGTTATTTCATTTGCCCCTTTCTTCTCAATCAAAACAGCAACCCTCGGCAGCACCTTCCACCCTGATGCAATCACCTAGCCAATCACCAGCAGTTAAATATCAATTTTCCCATTTTTCAATTATTTCATTTGTCCCTTTCTTCTCAATTAAGACAGCAACCCTCGGCAGCACCTTCCATCATGAAGCAATCACCTAGCCAATCACTGCCAGCTTAAATGTGAATTAAATTAAATTTGAGAGGCATGAGTTTGTTAGTATTTTTGTAATAATTGGTGTGTATTTATCCTTTTTCCCACTTTTCCATTATTTCATTTTGTCCCTTTCTTCTCATATCAACACAGCAACCCTTCCACCTTGCAGCCATCACACAGTTGACCACTTCCAGTCAAATGTACTTTCTCCCATTTATCCATTATTTCATTAGTTTCATTCTTCTTAAATCAACACAGCAACCCTCGGCAGCTCCTCCTCCCAACATGCAGCCACCAACTCACCAACTACCAACTCACCAACCACCACCAGCAGCCGTGACAGGACCTATTAACCCAACACCTGAACAGCTTGCAAAGTTACGGTCAGATTTAGATATTGTGCAAGGAAATGTACAAGTTATGTCGGAGATGCTGACAGAGATGACACCAGGACAAGAAGAGGCTGGAGACCTGGAACTATTACAGGTAGAAAAAATGATATCTGATAGTATCTGAGATAGATTTAAAATGTCACGTAATTATTACTCTTTCTGTTGCTCTGTAGGGTTAAAAATTAGCAGTCCTCCGGTCGTCAGAGATAACTAAAATTTTCAATTGAGGACTGGATTTCACATTGTCCAAGAATTTTGTCCCAAGCCTGTTTGCAGCGTTCTTTTTATAAAAGAAAAAGGCCGTTCTAAATAGTTTTCAGTCGATTATTATTTTCTGTTTCCAGCACTAAAAAGTAACCGAAAATAAATAAATAAATAAATAATTACACAATTTGATAGAGTAACTAGATTTACACAGAATAATTTTCATCCAGGCCCTTTCTAGATCGAATTAGAATTTAGAAGTTAATTTTTGCAAAGGAAGAAAAACCAGAAAACCCGGAGGAAAAACCTTGAAGTACAGGAGAGAACCAACAAACAACTCTTCTCATATACGATGAGTCTGTGAATCAGATTGCATTACATTGCTGAGAGGCGAGCATTTGTGAAAGGCGAGCACTCTCACCATTTTGATTTTAGGAAATACTGCAGACCAAGATTTTTTTGGATGCCAAAACCCCAAGCATGACAGACAATCTCTTTTCAAGGTTAATTTTGAACCCTGCACTAAATGAGACAAAAAGTTCAAGCAGGATAATCCACAGTTGGTGATGATGGCTCACATTGATGTTTATTTGATGTTTATTCATACAGGAATTGAATAGAACATGCCGAGCAATGCAACAACGTTTGATGGTACTTCTCGAGCAAGTGGCAAATGAAGAAGTTGTTGGTAAGATATTTATTATGATTAATTATTATCAGAATTAGATTAATTGCATATACTTATTTACTTTTCTAAATTTTTTAAATTTTTAGGTGAGCTTCTAAGAACTAATGATGACATCAACAATGTTTTTATTCGATATGATCGCTATGAGCGATTCCGCCAAGCCCAGTCAAAGCCTGCTGAACCACCCAGGCCAGCACCTACAACAGTACCGCCGATGCCTCCAAGACCAGCAGCTCAAACAGTATGAGAAAACTTTAGTTCTGTTTAGTTATTTTCCTAATAGAAATTTTCTTTGGGCATAATGTTTACCAATCAGACCACGTCACTGTTATTTCCTAAGGGTTTCATTTCTTTGTTAAGACACGAGAACACACATGAATATGGATACAACTCAAACAAAGAATATAATTCTCAAGAGAATGAAAAGAATTCTGAGATGAAAAAACATTGCGTGCAAGCCAAAAGTCTACTGAAATACATTGGGAATAGACCCTGTTCATCTTGGTACAATATTTTCCCATTTCAAGACAATGTTTCTTTCCCTAGAGTATAATTTTTTGTTTGATGATTGCATATAAGAAGATGGTACACATGAATATGGATGCAACTCCGATCTCGTTGTCAAGAGAATTACATGTGGTCTAAAAGGGGGGGAAACATTATGCCAGACATAGAGGAATATTGAAATGCATGGGAAATTTCCACCAGGGGTTTTCATACCTCTATTCCAGTTATTATCATGCCTCTTCTATGTCATTCTAAGATTTTTGATTCACCTTTTTCTCATCTCTCTAATCAGGTCTCTCCTGCAGATATTAACCTGACAGAGTAAGTCAAAATTAGATCAGTTACAATTTCGTGGCTTCTCAAAGTATTTTTTTATGACAGACTAGGGAATATTGTGTGAGGAAGACTGGCAAACTAGTGAGACCCCATCCTTTTCCTTAATCCATCTTTTGCAAATCTTCCTCTCTTCTTCTTATCTTGTTTAAATATTTTTCTCCTCCTCCTTTATATACTGCGAGGATCAGCTCAATTTGATACATTACAACTGCAGTACAAATATATATTTCACATATATTCTCATACACACATATATATTATATCTCCTATCGGGCCTATAAACCCACCCAATATGTCCTTGAAGTCTCATATGAGACTTGGTAGCTCAGTGGTTAGAGCATGACGCCAGAATCGGCAGGGCACAGTTTCAAATCCTGTTTGAGACTCAGAATTTTTTCTCTGGCTTCCAATTTGCAGCTATGTAAGTTGCTTTACATACTGTGAGGATCAGCTCAATTTGATAGACTATTTTCATTAACTATTTTGTGTTCTTTAGGGCTTCTTCTGATGCTCTGATCAGTTTTGATGAACCCTCCCTATCCACCCTTGCGGAGGCTGATGGTGATGCTGGTGCAACAAATGGTGTTACATCACAACTACAAGGACTAGGTAAGGATACAATTAAACATATCCATGTCTTCAAGGAGACGGGAGGGTCTAAAGATGTTATTGATTTTTTTGTGTATAGTCCTATGAAAATATCCACACCTCCTCTAATGGAGTGGATTGGAATTTCCAAGGGGTGGGGAGGGACTGAGGAGCATATATTGTGTAGTTCCAAAAAATATCCATACTTTCCCCATGGAGGGGGATTGGAAATTTCAAGGAGTGCGGAGGGTTGGAGGAGCATATAACATGTAGTTTCATTACCACAATCATCTCTAGAAATACTAATGTTGACTTTTTAATATATTATTATTGTATTATTCAGATATTAAGAAAACTAACCAAGAGCCGGATGTAGCTGCATCTGTCACTCATGACGATGAGTTTGACATGTTTGCACAGTCAAGAAAAAGCACTTTTGAAGAAAGTAGACAAAGGTACAAAATCAATTAAACAAGGACGTAGCCACCACATGGACAATATGTTTTTTTAAAATTTTGTCTCTGTCCTCTGATATAAATATAGTAGCCAGCCAATTAGCGTGCACAATATATTTCAAATATTTTATAAAAACGTGTATAAAACGCTTGGTTCTTATCAACGTTTTAGTGGAACTACATACAGTGACAACCAACAACCAATGGATCGTCTCATAACCGATTCTCTGAGCATTAACAAATCACAAGCTAACTCTTCATCAGCAGAGGTCAAGGTATTTATATTAGAATCATAAGTAGAGGTGTTGAGATAGGAGAACTAGTAATGACACTGATGTGGGTTGTGAGAATAATGGTGTTTGCTGAAAATGATGGTGTTGGTGGTTGTGATGGTAGTGATGTTTGGGATGATAGTAATGATGTTGATACCAGTGATAGTTGATGATGACAGTAATGATAATGATGATTATGACAATGATGACAATTCTTATAGATTAAAATATATTTTATTGACTAATATACATGAAACAAATATAAATGAAAATATCAAGAAGTGATAGAGAAGAAAGATGTCTAATACTATGCATGTATTCACCTATTTTTTCTCTTTGCTTACAGCCCACTGAACCAAGGTAAAAATGGTTAGAGTTCCAAAGTACCAATATTTTACAGTCGAGGAAGCATGATCATATGCAAGACATTTATGCTGCCAAACTGCAAATGATTTTTCCATCCACTACGTCCCATTTCATCTATTCTATCCCATCACTTCATCTATCCCAATTCTAACTGTTAATAATATTCCTGTATCTTCTAACCTTTTTATCCATAACCAACAACAACTGCTATAGGAAGCATGATCATATGCAAGACATTTATGCTGCCAAACAACAAATGATCCTTCCATCCACTACATCCCATTTCATCTATTCTATCCCATCACTTCATCTATCCCAGTTTTAACTGTTAATAATATTCCTGTATCTTCTAACCTTTTCATCTATAACCAATAACTGCTATAGGTCTGGGGACTCCACACAGCAGGGACAAACATCTGCTACAAAACACGAGCCGTAATTACTTGCATGCAAAGCTTTTTTTATATTGTCGTCATATGTTATAATAATGTACTAATCTATGTCTAAAATGCTGGAAAATTGTGTCCTAAACAAGGAATTTTACTGGCTGATTTTTGGGGTGTCAAAATACCTACTGTCAATGCACCTACCCCTTAGGGATTGTTTATTACAGTCAAACCACCTCAAGCGTGAACACGTAGAGGTCATTAATGACTTTATTTTTGGATTCTTGATTTCATTATTCGATTCGAACATTCATTAATGAAAACCAATCTTCGGTATTCAAAAAATAATAATATAATTTGAAAATTCGATTAACTTGGCTTGTAGGCTCTTGTTTGTAGCGAAAACAGAAGGTAAGTCATTAATATTACATATTCCTTGCACAAAAAGTTGTTTTTGCATTTCAGTTGCAGATTTGCTTGGCTTACGTATATGCCAGGCTTTGAAGATTCGTTTTCAATAATGAATGTTCAAATCGAATAATGAAATCAAGAATCCAAAAATAAAGTCATTAATGACCTCTACGTTTGAGGTGGTTTGACTGTAACCATAAAAGGATCATCAAGGGCCTCTACTCCACCCTATGTCAGTGTGTCTATGACCCTGTTTTCTCAAGACTTCTTTAGACCCCCATTTTGGGATTTCCTGAATCCATGCTGGCTACCTTTATTGTTAGTGAGCACGTTATGACATTATCAAGAAATAATACTAAAGGGAAGGAGGAGTTCAAGATCTGAAGGCACAAAGATAGAAAGGAGAATAAATGTTATTTACATAGATCATGGCCATTATATATGTATCAATCATTGTGTTCTTCTTACCCAACAGCCCCATGGAAAGTATTGAATCTTGGCTAGGAGAAGAAAATGTAAGTAACCATGGTAATGCTACCTGATGGTAACACAGGCAGATCTAGGGGAGGGATAAAGAGGGAGCACACTCCCCCTCCCCCCATCCCAAGATGAGCTGATATATACTGCATTATTGGTGTTTGTGTTTGTAAGCAAAGGATGCACCCCTTCTTAAACGAAAATCCTGGATGGTGCATCCCACCCCCTTACAAAGAATCCTGCATCCACCCCCTTGATAACCATGCCAACACCACTCTGCTCTGAGAATAACCATGACAATGTTATTAAAGGTTAAACGTCACCTTGAAAGGGTAATCATGGCAACCTAAACTTGAATCTTGATGTGAATTTGGGGAGGGGAAGGGGGGGGGGAGAAGGGTGAAAAACAGAGAAGCAATCTTTTGATTTGAAAGAGTCTTTAGAAGTCATTAAACTAATAATTAAAATATCTGCTAAATGATTTGATTTCTCAGGTTGCAAAGGAAGAAGAAGCTTCAGGACAAGCAGAGACACTGTCTAGTCA